AGACGATTTTGCTAATTTACCCGCCCCAATACTATATCGTCTCGTCAAAAGGTAATTTTGCTAATTCCACCACTTACCGGAAGTACAGGATGAATGACAGTAGATGAGCTGAACAAACGCCTAAGCGGAAGAACAAAAAAGATGAAAACGGGAGCTTTAGGATCACCAGTGGGCTGACTTTCCGATATTTCCTGGACGGCAGCCGTGGAAAAGCACTGCGATGAAACGGAAGCTGATCAGAATGATTACCTACTGAGTAGTAGTTGAGGAAGAAGTTTTAAAAGAAGTATCATTGCTGCTAAGAAAAAAAAAGGATCATATCTGACACAATTCTGCTGGACAGATAGCTCAGTTCCAGCGCCTTAGTAATTCGATTATTGCCGAAATTTGGGGGATTTTGGCGCTAATGAATTTCTAAAAGTTTTTTCAACATTAAACAGTTGTTGAAAAAACAATTGACGAAATGGGATCGTAGTCGGATCCAGACGGCCCAGAGGAGAGGGGTGAAGGGGGCGGCAACGAGCGAGGGGGGAGGGGGAGGAGGAAGAGGGGTTGGGGAAAAGCAACGGCACCTTTCTGCGGAAGAGAGTTTTCTTCAGTTCTAGCTTTAGACCCAGACTTTTGTAGCACTGGCACCTGTGCCTCTGGGCGGGAGGGAGGAGGGGAAGGCGAAAGATCCATTACCCCACTCCTTTGCATTAATCCATTTCAGCCAGAGTGAGCGTGTATTAAATTCGATTATTCGACTAAAACGAAAAGATCTCTTGCCGTTGTATTTTACTGATCACAATTCCAGTGTAAGTTAATGTATTATTTCTTTTTTTTACCGGGATAAAACGTATTTTATTTTTTATTTTTTGAAATGGACATCCCAACATCTCTTGAGACATACCAACTTTAAAATGAGGCGTCTTGGTTTACGTTTGAGGTTTAAGATACTTTAGAATTAACTTTGAAATGTTTAGTTTTTACATATGAAATACTCTAACATCATGTTGAGGTATCCTAATTATTTTTTATTTAAGATTTGTTGACGTAAATTTTGAGGTATTGTGCTTTACAGTTTGAAATGTGCCGATATTTCTCCCTCAAGCCGTTTAAACTATATTTAAGTTGCCTCAGTTGTGCAATGAAGAAGTGGAGAATGCTTATCCATTGGAATTGGCGCTGACGCTAAATCAA